TGTTGGTGTTGGTGTTGGTGTTGGTGTTGGTGTTGGTGTTGGTGTTGGTGTTGGTGTTGGTGTTGGTGTTGGTGTTGGTGTTGGTGTTGGTGTTGGTGTTGGTGTTGGTGCTGGTGTTGGTGTTGGTGTTGGTGTTGGTGTTGGTGTTGGTGTTGGTGTTGGTGTTGGTGTTGGTGTTGGTGTTGGTGTTGGTGCTGTTGCTGTTGCTGTTGCTGTTGCTGTTGCTGTTGCTGTTGCTGTTGCTGTTGCTGTTGCTGCTGCTGCTGCTGCTGCTGCTGCTGCTGCTGCTGCTGTTGTTGTTGTTGTTGTTGTTGTTGTTGTTGTTGTTGTTGTTGTTGTTGTTGTTGTTGTTGCTGTTGTTGTTGTTGTTGTTGTTGTTGTTGTTGTTGTTGTTGTTGTTGTTGTTGTTGTTGTTGTTCTTGTTGTATGCCCCCCACATTTACCAAGCCGAGATGAAGCAACACCGGGGGGGTGCTACCGGCTGGGAGCCCCCGGCTTCCAATTGGCTTCGACCGAGGTCCAGCCAGGCAGAGGCGGGAACGGGCGATGGTCGCAAGTGGTCCGATTCTTGCGGCAGGTTGCTTGGCGTCTTCCCATGGCCTTTCTTCATTTTTACCACCCCACTTAACATGGAACCTGAACAGGTGGTCGTTTGAAGAGGAAACTGCTCCAGGTTCCACCATGTTGGTCGGAGGAAGGTACTCGTTTCCTGCAGTCTCCGGATATGGCCAAACTTTGGCCATGTGGACGATTTTCGATCAACGTGCCGCGCTTCCAGCCCAGCAAGACAAAAAAAACCAACATGGCCAAAGGCCAACGTCCGCGCTGCCATGGCACGTGCAAGATAGATATGATAGACCCCAAAGAAACCACGTACTGTGATTGCTTATTCATTTTGACCGCCCGCATCAGGGTCTCAAATTGGGAGCTCTCTTGGCCTTTCTTTGTTTAAGCCAGCCAGCAGGCAGGTTCCCGTCACAAACTCCCTAGGCTCACTCTGTGCAGCATGAGCAAGTTGCGAAAGAGTCGAACCGCCCTTCCCGAGGTCCCTCCATGAACACCTCATGCCTGGCTCGTCTTTCTTTTTGGCATCGGATTTCCCAAAACGGCGCAAGGGGTTGTCCTTTCGAAGCAAACCAGGAAGGGGTTTCCTAAAAAACAAAGAGACACCCAAATGACTGCTTCCATGTTGGTTTCCTTTTCCCAAGGTCTTGCGCCCAGTCAGTGAGGTCCCTTTCTTGATGCCAGGCAAAGGCGACTGCCCCCTGGAGGCGACGCGGCACACACTTTCGGCCTGGAGGGGTCACCCCAACGGTAGCTATGAACGCCCACTGCGAGAGTTTCAGTTGCGAAGTTATGTTGTTTCGTGCTTTTTTGTTGTTGTGTCGTTCTTCTTGCTCGGAGGAAGAACGGATGCAGTTTGATGATCATTCAAAGTGGTTTATATGTTCAATGGTGCATTGTTTGATCATGAAATATTTGATTTACGCCAGTGTCCTGTTAAATAGGCCGCTACCGCTAGTTTTCCGGATCTTGCGTTTTACAGCTCGAGCAGCATTTCGTGACTTGGCTCTATGCGTGGTGTTGATCCCTGGATATTCCAGGAATCCGTTCGTGCCATTTTGAAACCACGAGAAACCATTGTTTGTTGGTATTTGCAGGGGAATCATCCTTCCAGGGTTTCTTAGGTGATGCAGAATTTCGTCCATCCACAGTACGGCCGGACAAATAGATAACTGGACCCACCGTTGCTTAGGACATGATCTATTTGCTCTGAACGTGTAGCTGACGATTACACTGGTTCAGGCTGTTTTCCTGCTGATTTCCCTGGTGGTGCAATCAGATTCAGGCTTGTAGCCAATCCGGCTAAGCTAAATCTATCTTTTTATTTGCAGACAGCATTCCCATTATATGGTTCACATTTCTCCTCTAAGATGCACAAAAATGCCGAATTCCAAGTCAAGGAGAAATTATTGGGCCATTGATGTTTGTCCTCAGCGGAACCCCAACAGAAGTTGATCCCCTGCTTTCCTTTGGTTTCCCTTTGACAACACCAAGCACGGCGACCTTTGGGAAAAACACAGTCTCGCCCATATAATTCTGCCGCAGAGTGTCAGCTTTGGTTTGGGAGCACTACCGTCACGGGAGGTCAATGACACGGAAGTCAAGCCCCGCTGAGGTTTCGGAGGAGCGGCTGTTGAATAGTGTTGAATAGTGTGACCGACCCCTAACCTGAAGGGCAGCCTGACATGCTTGTTTGTTTGTTGTTTTTGTTCCCCTGCTTTGTGATATCCATTTGGTCTTTTTCTGAAGCGGCAACGGGTTGCCCCACGGTTATCGATGCCCGACTGGGCCAGAAGCCTGGTTTGTCGGGGATTTGCTCCCTGTCCCCAAGGGCTTTTGTTGCCTTCGGGAAATCGTGGGAGTGATGCTTCTCAAGTGCTTCGAATTCTGAATATGAGCTACTAGGTTCTGCGTCGCTTCGACACGCTTTGTCTGTTGGAACGATTTTGCGGGAGCCCCGCAATAATAGCTTGGGCGCACAGCTTACCCAATTCAAAGGCAGCCCCCTCTGTTCGCCTCTCAAGATGTTTCCCGGCTAAGGCAACAAGCAAGAAAGGTCAAGTAGTCTTTGGCAAGAAATACTACTGATCTAGAAACAAACGTGGATGCGCTTTTCGTAATTTTCCCCTGGTTTCCATTTGTTGGTCCTTTTTTAGTCATCTTTTAGTACTCTTTTCGTGTTTGCCAGGGGTGAATCCACCAAAGCCGCATCCAAACCGCTATTTGGGCCGAAGCTGCTGGACAAACCGTTAACTCTGGTGTCCCGTGCAGGACCTTTTCTTGAACCAGGCATCCGGTTCCTTAGGCGGTTTCAGTCAAGTTTAACCAAGCTAAGCTGTTGGCGGGGCATCTGGGGACAGCTTTGAAGAGTTGACATAGACATGTTGGCAACCCTCAGCGACCACGCAGAATGATTCGACCAATCATCCTGTGTATGATAGGAATTAGTGAGGGTGGCTGGATAGCACCATTGCTGGTAAGCGTGGACAACACTTGTGCAACATGGTCTTCAATATGTTCGAGTGGAGCGTCACCATTGACTCCAAGTCGCACCAATATGTACAGCAGGAAGGCAAAACAGAAGGAGACCATCGCTCTGATCTGAAATCCGTTCCCAAAGCATGCGGATGTCGCTAAGAAAGTTGCGGGGGCCCCACATTTGCGTAAAATGCGGGGTTCCCTTGAAACATGCCTCAAACAAAAGGTGAAATAGGTACCCTGGCACCCTCCAAAAAACCCGCAGAGACACTCACTCGGATGTGTCCTTAGCTGGCAGCCAGGAGGAGCTGGCGAAGGCTCGGGCGGAGATCGAAGCGGTGGAGAATCGCCTAAGGCCGGGTTTGGACAACGGCTCGGCTCGGCGTTTTTCGTACGTAAGATAACCTCTTCCGCTTGGCTGAGAGATGTTTTTTTAAAACATATTTTCCCTGGTTGCTTTTTCTTTGGGAGTCGATTTCAGTACTGTTTTTCTTTTCCCCAAGGCTTTGATCAAGGTTTGGTTGGGGACATGTTCTGTGGCTGTAGGTTAAAACTAGGGTAACCCCAAAATGTGTTGCCCAAGGTGGCCCGTGCCCATATCTTTGTCCAGCAAATGATGCTAGAAAGCTCATGACAGCCAATGAGTAGGGTTGAGCGTTGAAACACGAAGAATGATAAGAGGGACAGCGAAGAAGACAAAATGGACGGCATCGGGACTACAAAGAGTAAGCAGGAATGGATACACAGCGGTAGTTTTTCACATCCAAGCTGGGACATGTGAAACTCAACGCAAAGAACGCCTCAGAGCAAATGATCAGTCCTTGCATATGGAATTGCTCGGGTTACCGACACCTTTGGCAGCGAGACACAGCGGGAAGCAGTTCATCCGCTAGGATGAAGGCTTCAGGAGCAGCTGTTTGATGTTTCTCTCTCTCATAGAACAGTTGGTCGAAGATTCGACATCATTTGTGAAGGGACGAAGAGAGTTAGAGAGAGCTAGAGTCCTTAGAGAGAGCTAGAGAGAAAGAGAGAGAGAGAGAGAGTGAGAGGGAAAGAAAGAACGAAAGAAAGAAGGAAAGGAAAGAAAGGACAAAAAGACAGAAACAAAGGCAAAATACAATGTAGACAAACAGAAGAAGGAACGAAAGACAGAAAGAATGAAAGAAAGAAGGAAAGAAGGACAGAAGCAAAGGAAGAACGACAGAAACAAGAAATAAAACAGAAATCAAGAAAGAAAGAAAGAAAGAAAGAAATAAAGAACAAATAAATATAAAAGAAAGACAGAAAGGCAGAGAGACAGAAATGAAGACAGACATAAAGACAGAAATAAAGACATACATACAGAACACAGCGAGAAAGAAAGAAACAAGGAAGGCAGAAAGAAACAAACATTCAGAAACAAAGGAAGAAATCAAGAGATAAAGAAAGAAAGAAAGAAAGAAAGAAAAGGAAAGAAAAGAAAAGAAAAGAAAGACATAAAGACAGAAAGAAAGAAAGACAGAAAGAAAGAAATAAAGAAAGACAGAAAGAAAGAAAGAAAGAAGGAAGGAAGGAAGGAAAGAAAAAAGGAAAGAGAGAGAAAGAGAGAAAGAGAGAAAGAGAGAAAGAGAGAAAGATAGAAAGAAAGAAAGAAAGAGAGAAAGAGAGAAAGAAAAGAACGACCGGAAGGAAGGAAGGAAGGAAGGAAGGAAGGAAGAAATAAATAAAAGAAAAAGAAAGAAAGAAAGAAAGAAAGAAAGAAAGAAAGAAAGAACGAAAGAAAGAAAGAAATAAAGAAAGAAAGAAAGAAATAAAGAAAGAAATAAAGAAAGAAAGAAAGAGCAGACTGAACATTAGTAATTGCAAGACACAATTGGAGATTGACTGGCTCAAGTCATTCATGCGAGTCAACAGCCAAGTGCATGGTGCAACTTGAAATGTCATGGCTGCAGGCCAACTGCAAGGAGTTCCAAATCCGAGCCCGAGAGTGCTGAGGAGCGGCTAAAGGCATGGGAGGCTCAACTCCTGGAGGGTGCCCAGGGCATTTTCTGGCGGTTGAACCATTCGTTCGACCTCCAAAAGCGAAAAAATCCCCCGCGAAAAAATGGGAACACCCTTTCAATCCACCAGAGGAATCCGGGGCTTCCCATACAGCTTTAGAGTTTCTTGTTCGTGACGTTTGCTGCGAGAAAACCACAGGAACCCCCGGAAAACCGGTGGCCAGGAACCGGCCTGCGGTTGCCCCACCAGTGCCTGAACCCGGGACGCTGGTTCACGGCACTTGCACCCCCCAATAAACCACCACTCCATCGCAAGGCGGAGAAATGCAACTTTGTTAAAGGAAGAACTCGATCTGTAGCACGTGAGTTAGACCCGGACTTGGATCTCTGTATCTTGTGCTCCTTGTTCTCCTTGTGCTCCTTGTGCTCCTTGTGCTCCTTGTGCTCCTTGTGCTCCTTGTGCTCCTTGTGCTCCTTGTGCTCCTTGTGCTCCTTGTGTTTCGTGGTAGAACAGGTTCAGTTATGCGAACCAGAAAGCAACTTTGTGCCATGATTCCGAGTGCCATGGCACTCTGTGAGGGAGTGCAGGCCTATTGGATAGATGAATGAATGACGACATGGAGACATGGAGGGCAAACAAATTCTCGAATGCCGTTGGCAGTTCAGAGGCTTTTCTTCGCGATTTTCTTCGGGCCTGACGGCCTTACCTACTGTTCACTGGTGTCACGCACACAACGTTCTGGAGAACGCCGTGAGCGAGCCGAGATGGGTGGGCTCCCTTTGCCCTGAAAGAAATACTCTGCAAAAGAGAACATATCTCACAAAGGCCATGCCCTTGAACCTTCCAGTCAGGAACAATTCCTCATAGCCATACATCCAGCCCCAAATTTCTGGCTCAAAACCGGGCCCCCAAAATGGCTTCGGCTTTTTCCCTTTACAATCCCTCACACTGACCGGAGCTCCGGCTGCCGATTCCAATGGGCCGATCCGGATCCACGCTTTCATTTTGGAGTGGGAGCTTCCACGTTACTTGGCCCACTCAGAGCGCACCAGGGTCCAGCTCCATGACCCCACCTTCTCCCACCATCCAACAACAGGTTTCTTGGCTCCCAGCCATCCGGTTCCTTGGCTTCTTAGCCTTTTAGTGTTTGGTGGTAGTTTCCATTTAACCCGCTAAAAGTGAGTCACTTTCAGCGGGGGGTCTGAAAACGGGCAGCCCAGGTTAGTCTAGGTGGTCCATTTTAGAACCTATTTTAGTGGTTGGATTGGGATGTCTGGGGGATGTACGGGGTTAACCGGGGTTTGACTTACCCATGGCCATGTTAGTCTGCGGGAGGGTCACCCTCCCCGAGACCCCCCGTGGAGACGAGACCTGGAGACCCGTCGCTCCGCAGGAGGAGCTCGCGAAGACCCGCGCGGAGATCGAGAAGACGGAGGAGGACCTCAGGCTGGGGGATGAAACTGCATGACCGCCACCCGTGGGTCGCTTGTTGTTTTTTGTTTTGGGGGGGGGGGACGGAAAGAAAGGACGGACAATTCACGCATTTGGCGGTTTGCTGCTTTTTGTGTTTTGGTTGGAGTTGGGAGGTGGAGGGTTCCAGCATTTGACGTTTGGTCGTGTTTTTTGTTTAGGGGAGCCCTCAATGGATTCGGGTGCCTCTTTGGTTTCCCTTTACAACCAACCAAAAAAGGGATAATTACCCTCTAAAAAGGCCGAACGACTGGAGACGAAAGAACGAATGGAGACCTGGGTCAACGGTTTGGTCGGGTAGCGTTTAGTTTAAATGTGGCGGCAATTCACCAGAATTATTCCCCACCCTGACAAGACAAACGGGGAGGAACTGCAAAAGACATGTTCGGTGGGAACCAACATGTCTGCCCGTTCGTGCGCCCAAGGCCTGGCAATACTAACAAATACTAAAGCATAACCCAGCACGAACTAATGCTGAACCAATGCGAAGCCAATCCTGAGCCAGCAAAATCAACTGAGGCCCAAAACTGCCGAAGTCTTTTGACACCCTAAAAACAGCTGCCAAACAAATGTTCGAGGGGGTGGTGAAAATAAGGAACATGAACAATCGCCTGGCCAGCACCGAGGAATGCTAAACAAAAACTAAACCAATTCTGAAGACTAGGCCCAACTCTGGCCCAAATAGTTTTTAGCTTTTTCCTTATTGACCCACCCCCCAATTTGTTTGTTGGGGCCCCTTCATAATCACTCCCCCACATTATATTTTCGCCATCTACTCATGTTGATGCTAGAAAATCATGAAATCCTCGCATCGCGCGGTTCAGCAGCTCAAACGGTCATCCTTTGGGGGAGAATGAACCACCCCTGGGTTCAAGTCTATACTTTGTTGCATTTTTGCTTGGATGTTAAGACTTTAACTTTTTGCCAACCAATGGGTTTTCCGACGCAAACCATCAAAAGTTCATCGCTTTTAGAGGGGTTTCGCAGAAAGCCACCGAGCTTAAGTCTATATATGGAGCCCTGACAAGACGCCAAGACGCTTCGACACGTTTCGAGGCGCTGCGAGAAGGAGGGGGCGCAGCACTCGCCGCAGAAGCCGCAGAAGGCGCCGGTGGAGTCTCGGAGTCTCGGACCTCCGGGAGGTTTTTTTTGGGGTCGGGGAAAACCGGGGACCTTGGGTGTGACTCTTCCTTTGGTGGGTTTTTCAGTTTTTCCCGAAAGCATCGCGAAGGGTTCTTTCGTGCGGAGCCCTTGGACAAGTTACACAGAGCCAAGTTGCACAGAGCCAAGTTGCACAGAGCCAAGTTACATAGAGCCAAGTTACATAGAACCAAGTTACATAGAGCCAAGTTACATAGAGCCAAGTTACATAGAGCCAAGTTACATAGAGCCAAGTTACATTACATAGAGCCAAGTTACATAGAGCCAAGTTACATAGAGCCAAGTTACATAGAGCCAAGTTACATAGAGCCAAGTTACATAGAGCCAAGTTACATAGAGCCAAGTTACATAGAGCCAAGTTACATAGAGCCAAGTTACATAGAGCCAAGTTACATAGAGCCAAGTTACACAGAGAGCCAAGTTACATAGAGCAAGTTACATAGAGCCAAGTTACATAGAGCTAAGTGGCACAGAGCCAAGTGGCACAGAGCCAAGTGGCACAGAGTCAAGTTACAGAGCCAAGTCAAGTTGCACAGAGCCAAGTGGCACAGAGCCAAGTGGCACAGAGTCAAGTTACACAGAGCCAAGTGGCACAGAGCCAAGTGGCACAGAGCCAAGTGGCACAGAGCCACGTTGCACAGAGCCAAGTGGCACAGAGCCAAGTGGCACAGAGCCAAGTGGCACAGAGTCAAGTGGCACAGAGCCAAGTGGCACAGAGCCAAGTGCCAAGTGGCACAGAGCCAAGGTTAGGTAGAGCTTGCCTAGAGCTTCGGCGTAAGCAGCTATGTAAGTTAGTTTAGGTATCTAAGGCGCCAGGGCGGGAGTTTGATCATCGCTCGGGATTGCGACCCTCTGCGGAGATTCGCGTGGTCGAGGCTCAAAAACTGGGGACTTTTGACGATTTCTGCGGTGCGCGCGCGACCCTCTGCGGAGATTCGCGTGGTCGAGGTTCAAAAACTGAGGACTTTTTACGATTTCTGCAAGCCGCGCGCGACCCTCTGCGGAGATTCGCGTGGTCGAGGTTCAAAAACTGAGGTTTTTTGCGATTTTAGCATGCGCGCGCGACCCTCTGCGGAGATTCGCGTGGTCGAGGTTCAAAAACTGAGACTTTTTACGATTTCTGCAAGCCGCGCGCGACCCTCTGCGGAGATTCGCGTGGTCGAGGTTCAAAAACTGAGATTTTTTGCGATTTCTAACATGCGCGCGTGACCGTTTGCGGAGATTCGCGTGGTCGAGGTTCAAAAACTGAGGACTTTTTACGATTTCTGCAAGCCGCGCACGACGCTCTGCGGGGATCGTGCGTGTCGAAGAGCTCTCGCTGTGGCGCCGTGCGTTTTTGTTGCTCGCAAAATGGCCTTTGGAAGTTGTCTCGTGGCTCGCGCGCCTGCTTTCGCAATCCCGCGGTTGCGGGTTCGATTCCCCCCTGGTCCGCGGCAGCTCCGGCTTGAAAATCGCAGCTTTTAAGTACAAGCGTAGTACGCGGAGCATGCTCCCGCAGCCCCGGCTGGAAAATCGCAACTTCTGAGTACAGACGTAGTATGCGGAGCGTGCTCCCGCAGCTCCGGTTGACCGGCAGCACTTGCGCAGAGCAACTTGCGCAGAGTCACTTGCGCAGAGCAACTTGCGCTCTGCGAATTGCACAGAGCAGTTGCACAAAGCACTTGCGCAGAGCAACTTGCACAGACCAACTTGCACAGAGCACATGCGCAAAGCGCTTGCACGGAGCAACTGGCGCAGAGCACTTGCGCAGAGCAACTTGCTCAGAGCACTTGCGCGGAGCAGCAACTTGCACAGAGCACATGCGCAAGCGCTTGCACGGAGCAACTGGCGCAGAGCAACTTGCTCAGAGCACTTGCGCAGAGCAACTTGCACAGAGCACTTGCGTGCAGCAGCTTGCAGAGAGCAACTTGCGCGCAGCAGCCTGGAACAATGCAGCTTGCGCAGACCACTTTCGTGAGAAGACCACTTTCGTGAGAAATCGCGCGGCGCAGTTCGAGAGGAAACTAGGATGATGAGATGGAGCTCTCATGTGACCATACACATTGAGCATCGCCGCGTGCAGACACGCTCGCCGCAGCAATGTAAAAAGGCGTCTCCGCGGCTGGATGAGCACCTGGGGAAAAATGCTTTCGGGCCAATCGTCCTCTAGTTTTTTTTAAAATCAATCCTTTGGCTTGACGCATTTTGTTGTCTTTCCCTTTTGCCGTTTTTTTTTCCGCGGGGAACCCAGAGGTTTGGATTTGTGGGAGCTCGGGATTCGAAGTTTTGTTTCCCCCCTGGGCAAACCCAAGGGGGAAGCGTCAGCTCCTACCGATCCAAGGCACCAATTGGAAGGCCTAGGACGGCTGTTTCAGCAAGCTGGATTTGGGGATGGAGCCTGGGGAAAAGTTCGAACTTCGAAAGATTGGGTTATGTTGGGTTGCCACTGGGGGTGCCGGGCTGTCCAGTTTCGCAGCACGGTTGTGTCGAGTCGGAGTGCGCCTTAGCCTCCAGGCCAAAACTCAGGGCCACCCGAAGCTGCAGGGAACTGAAGGGCCCAAAGTTCTTTGCTTCTTTGGTGTAGCTGTTTTGGTGGCAACTTGAACAGGGTGTTGGAACCCGAGCGCCGGATGAGTTTGAGCTTCCAAGTGTTTGAGACTGCTTTGTAAATTTCTTGGGGCTGACACAAGCAAGTTTTGAGTGGTAAGGAGTCCTCCAGCATGGGTTTGTTCCATGCGAACCGATTGGACGGCGTTTCCCCTGATGAAATGCTCATGGCTTTGAGCGTTCGGGTCGACACTCCCAGCACCATGTGCTTGGACATGCCAAGAAGGCTCGTGGCAGCCTTTCCCTCAAAGCAGCAACCGCAAAAGCAACCAAGCATAGAAACAGAACGAAAACAATGACAACCGCAAAGCCGGTTAAACCAGTACTACTTGACAACTCAAACAAAGAAAACACAGCCAGAAACAAACGCACAGCCGGCTAGAACAGAATAACAACACAAACAGGATCAGGTTCACACTCCATGCCCCCGCATGCCTGGGGCCCTTTTTCGCGAACATTCATCGGAACAACTCCTGTCAGGCTGGGATCAGCCGAGAGGCGGGGACAGTGGAGAGAAAGGTAACAAGGCTTTTGTTTGGTGAAGACAACAAAGTGTTTGGGTTGGGATTGGAGAAGGTCTAATGAAGAGACAAATTGGTGGCTTAGCGGCCAAGCTCTTCGCTTGACTTGGTTTCTTATCAGCAGGGCCCGGCCACTGTTGAGAAGTGGAAGAAGGTCACTTTCTGCTCACCTTGCAAATGGTGTTCTGAATGCACGTTCAGCCATCGCGGAGCAAGCATGCAATGTGGAGACACAATGCATTTATGCGGTGCAAATGAGTATGCCTGGTGGTGCTTCCCACGTTAGGCCCGCATCGGGGTCCTTCATCCGGGAAGCCCCGTGCCCTGTGGGACGCCGATCACGCCAGCGCCAGGCTGGAGGGAAAGGAATGTGATGATCTTGGCCTGACTTGGAAACGAAAGGCGAGACAAACGATGGGCATTGGTGCATGATAGTCATGAGGTGATGATGATGATGATGATGATGATGAGGAGGAGGAGGAGGAGGAGGACAAGGACGACGTCGACGATGACATGTTTTGATACAATGCTCAGCATGATGGTCTTGATGCTGATGACAGTGGGTTGTTGTGGCTGTCGTGGTTGTTACGTTTCATGTCGTCGTTGCAGTCAAACAAGTGTTTATCTTTTGACCGAAGGGTGTTCAGTGCTGATAGTGAGTGGCAGGAGCGGGTGTGCTTATTCTAATTCGGCAGGAGTGCGTGCATGCCTGCGGGCGTTCGTGCATGTGTGCGTGCGTGCGAGAAGGTGTGCTGATCATTTGGCAGGCGGATGTGCAGTCGTGAGAGTCCTGATCATGAACATGTGAAGAAGGCAGTCAGGAATTGCACAAGTCTAAGTAGTGCAACAGTGCCGGGAATTGCACAAGTTGCCAAAAGTAGCGAAAAGTGCGCCATGCTCCAACTGCGGCAAAGGGCCTAAGGCACAGGGTCGTTCGTAGGCTGCAACCTTGTGCGCAAACGATTGACGGCTCCTCTGCCAAATCAGAAGCGCACTGCTGTACGCTTATTGTCAGCACTGCAAACCCGCCACGAAACTATAAGTGCGAGTGATTTGATTCTCCGCAAGTTGCCTGTTTGCGGAAAGCATTGTAGGAATGAAACTACGGCCCACAGTATCTCGCAATACTCCCTGAGTGACGAAACGCAATGTCGCCGTATGTGTTAGTGATTCGTCGTCATGCCCGCTGCCATCGGTCGCTGTGAAGTGCTTGAAGTCGTATTGGCAGCGCAGGCTACAATTTGGCGGCGGCCATCGCAAATGCCACCAACTCAGGCTTGGCACGGGTCTCTTGGTTCAAACATTTGAGCCACAATCAAAACCCGGGTAGATGAAGGGTAGTAAGGGGCAGTCCCAGCCAGAAATAGCTGCGGCCGCCCTTTTCATTCTTTACATGGTTCTGGGTAGACCATTTTACTACCGGGTTTTGATTATGATTCATTTGGTCACTCAGCACGCCTCTTCACCAATATGCGAGAGAAGAGGGAGAGTCTGGCTATGCTATCACCTGCCAGCCAATTGTCTCCCAAGCTCAACTATTAATCATGGAAATTCGCCAAGCCCCTTCCCCACTTATCCACTGTTGAATGGTGGGGAAGAGATAGGGCGTAAAGGAAAAGAGACGACCAAAAGCCATCTGCATAGAATATAGACTTGTATTATGTGCTTCTCTTTTATTTACAGTCTATCGATATGTCTTTTTTTTCATACGTCTCAATAGTACAGTGATGAGAGTGCCATCACCGGCTCTTTATTTTCAGGTGGTGGATGAAGAGAGAAGGAGATGTAGAATGGTTCCCTTCCTCTCCATTTCAAGCCGTTCCATCTCCTACCTGCCTATCTCTCCGGCAGAATTGATTGGCTTTGTGTAATGCTGGACAGAGATGGAGAGAGAAAGGCCTGGGAAATAGTGTCGTAATGACGGATAACGATATGATTACCAATATAAAGTGATTCAATTATAAGTCGAGATGTTAAATGGTTCATGTTTCATACTGTGTTTTGTAGAATTGCGAGGATGTTTTCCGAGCCACTTATCATGGGAGTCCAGGCCCGGTGCTGAGCATGTGTTTCAACCTGACCGTTTTTCTTTCATTCGCAGCTTCAATCCTCAGCAGGGTTCGCCCCCACGCCTCTCTGATAGGCAAGGCAGAGCTGGGGGGCCTAGCTTCGGCATGGGCCAGCGCGCAAGTTGACTATGAGCGACCTACCCGCATGCCCTGTTGTTGAACAAGGGATAGTGTTTGTGGCTTGTCTGAGTCCTTGCCTGAATTCCAAAGATGGCTGTTGGCCGGATCGAAATTGTGCTGGGAATTGAAGATGATGCAATGAAGTTTCAGGAGCCACTCATGTCTGGCAACAGGCTGTCCTTTGTTTTTGTTTTTTTTTCTGGCAGGCCGAGAAGAGATTTTGGGAGTGATTGAGAGACCTCCGCCAAAATCCAAAACCTGGGTGCATGAAGTTCAGCAAGGGATAGTACCCCAACCATAGGTGGGTGCCGCCTGTTTAATTCTTTACATGGTTCAGGGTAGACCATTCTAGGTCCCCCAGTGCCCTTTTACCGTTTCTTTTTTGGGAGGGTTCCCCTACTCAAATAGACAGGAAAACAAGTTGGTACCCTTATTCTAACCTCTCAAAGCTGGAGGACCTAGCATTTGTTGATTATGACTCATCTTGCCGTTGAAGCTGAAGTTCTGAGCCCCGAGTTCGGAGAGGCCTGACACGCGGCCAGTGCCGCCTCCGCCGCCGCTCGATCAGATGGGAGTCTTCGTGTTGGAGACTCGGAACGCGGGGTGGATCTTCCGGGTATTGAGGGTGCAAAGAGAAGCTAATGGATCCCGCCCATGCGATCTGCCAGAGTCAAGGCTTTGTTTTGGCGAAAGCGCCACGCACTTTCGCACGTGTGTGTGTGTGTGTGCGCGCGACTTTCTGCAGAGCTCAGAATCGAAAACACGAATTGACGACCATCCCCAGCTTTAAGCCGACGTTGACTGGTTGACCATACTGGTATCCGTGAATCAGCTCAGACCAGATATACCAAGCACATTAAACATACCCGCCATTTGTCCTCACAGAATTCTGAGACTGAATATGTCCTCCGGGCACGGATCGAAACCAATGTTCTGCTTGACGGGGCCAAGTGTCCAAATCGCGGAAGGCCTCTGGACGTTTTGTTTTGTGTTTGTCTCTGGCCCGATTGGGTTTACTTGGGTTTACTCTTGAAATTCTACGTCGTTTGAGCAAGTGAGAATAGCTTCCAACTGTCCGTTGTCGTGGACACTTAACGTTTAAGAGCCTTCTCTGAAAAATACGTCTCCAACTGTCCATGCGCCCCTCATGCAGGTCCAACTAGCGACCCTCAAACAACAAGGTTCCACAGACTTAGGGATCCCTTGGGCTCCTACTTGGAATCTACACCCCGCCCCACCCCAAAAGGCCAAAAGAAATCTGCAGCCCAACCCCGCCCACCCCCCTGTTTCTCTTTTGTTCTGTGCTTGACTCGCAGTATTCCACTCATGAAGCAATCGGCCTGCTATATTTTGGCTCAAGGCTTGTGCATTACTTGTAGCTATCAGAAGATAGGAAAAACGCTTTGCTCATTCTGGTACATTGTACAATTGTTTCCACCGGAATTCAGGGATCGAAACCAAACACTGCTTACACACTTGGTCTTCGACCTCCTTAATTTGAACATTTATTCTGCATCGGAGTAGATCCACACCAGGGACGCACGAGGTCCCCTATTTGCAGCCTCAATTGCGGTAGCGGAGCGGGTTCTCTGAAGGCAGAAAGTTGAGTGAAGAGGACTACTATGGAACAGAACCACCCGCAGCGGCTTTCCTTGGAAGCCGTCAAAACGGCGTGAGTTGTCATGAGGGATCATCAATCTTTCGATAAACGCAAAATTGCCTCCATCGTATGACCTCAATGTGACAAAATCAGACGCAAGGCATTCGATATGATTGGACAACCCATATCGGTATCCGGGCTAGCAACTAAGGCATTCGATGACGGCAAGATCAAGCCAATGGCGCATCCATCGCTGCTGGCCGCAGCATGTCCAGCCGAGGCAGCGCCAGAGCAGACGCGACGCAGACCGTCGGACATGGCAACAACGCTGGCAATTACTCACACCACCAAAGAACTCCAAAGAGGTCTTGTGTGTCCACAAGGAGAGCGTTGCTCGCACCTGACACAAGCAAATCTTGTTCCATTGCACACACAGATATTCAATAAGCGAAAAACAAAACGATGTCAACCAAAGACAACGGAACGAAGATAGCTGGCGAAGCAAGGCAACTTCGCCACAGAAAGCACCAGGAACTACAACCTTCAAGCTCTCTGACAAACCACTTGCAGCAGCGCAAATCCATGCAGACACCGCAGATGACAGGGTCATTTCAGCGCCAGGCCCGCGCGCCAATGAGCCAGCAGATCCTGTTGCGCCACAAGAAGCATCAGCAGAGGCTCCGCCTGAAACACCAGCCACCTTGCCATGAGCAAGCTTCAACTGCAACATCGCCACATGTCAGGAGAGCAGTTCCGATTCAGGACGAGATCCGAGCAGAGTGCGAACCTTGTCAGAAGGCTGCCGTTGCACCTTCACGCAGCAAGACAAGCCGCCTCAGAGCCGAGACGCTTGGCGAACTGACACTCATTGATCATTGTCAGGTTCCCTAGGAACCGTTGAACGCATCAATGTTATTGTCATCCTTGACGAAGCAAGCCATGGGAGTAGTAGAGAACATGTAACATGACTGAAACAGTTGAGTGTTCCAGCGCTGGGCCACATGGAGCACCCAACGTTGGGAAACACTGGGGTCTGGGCAGTTCTGGAGCACTCAACACTGGGTAAACACTCAACAACACTGAAACACTCGACACTGAGCAAACACACTGAAGCACAGTTGAGTGTTCCAGCGCTGGGCAACACTGGGGTCGGGGCGCAACACTGCCACTCAACGTTGGACAACGCTGCATCTTTTTTGCTACGAGATTATTTTGATGCATATATCGCCTTCAACCAAAAACTAGCATTCGGCTACTTGCGCAACAGCCATAGCAAGAGGCCAGACAATCTGAAGACGCTCGCCAAGACCTCGCGCGACACCTGCGCCCAGGTGCCAAGCCACAATTGCAATTGGAGAAAAAATCTTTCTTGGAGCGAAGAGTCCAAAGTCAAAGCAGATGGATCAAAGAACGGAATGTGGCTAAAAGGTAAGGTAGGCTTGACCTTGGAACAAGACTACTCAAGGCCGCCAACATCACAAGCTACGAAAAGATGAAGCCATACCGCAATCAAAACCAGGAAGTGGCTTGCCATCTTCCGATGACGATCTCCGTAGAGATCTACTGGCTCAAGACAAGACAGCAAACCCGGCCAGCCAAGCGAAGCCCCAAAAAGACAAAAGTTGGAACAACCAAATCCCGCAGAACACAGAGGGCCACACTTGTGAAGCGCAAGTTGCTAATTGGGACTGCGTGACCAAAGGTAAGACCCATATGCCTTAGAAGTTTTAGCAGGCAGTGCCCGCCTGAGTCAGCGCTATGCGCTCACCGGTTTGAGTGCTGTTAAGCTTTGGGGTGAAAGTAACACCAGTGAAAAGTTGTGCACGTTAAACATCAGCAAGGTGCGAACGAAATTCACGGGCAGTCATTGAGTGGCTCGAGTTTTCCATTTGTGTTTTTCTCTCCCGCAGCCATGTCGTCTTTGCCTGGCAGTAAACCGCTGCAAGAGGCCGGGAGGGACGCGTGCTCCTACAGGAGCCGCTTCTGAGGGGGGGGGGGGCGTGCCCGCCAAGTTCTGTGCGAAACATTCACGTTGCTGGGGAGGCGTCACTCCCACAAGGCGCCTTATCCATGGAGGGTTCAACACCTGCCGTTCAGGACCTGAAACACCTGGAGGTTCTGGAACAGGCCTTCCGGGATGAGCTCACCACCAACGAGCTGACCTCTGGGAAGTGCCCAGATCTGCAAACAGTGGTTTCAGAAGTTCTGATCAGGCTTCGTCTTGCCAGGCTTTAGGTAGGCCAGTGCCGCCTTGTCATTGGACCCGCGCCTGAAATTCAGGCAGGCTTCGGCCTTGTTTTGGTTGCATTTTCAGCATTAGGGGAAGTGCTCCTGTGCCCAGTTCTGCAAACAGATCTTGCACGAGCGGTTTCAGAGGTTCTGATAAGGCCTCGTCTTGCCAGGCTCTAGGTAGGCCAGTGCCGCCTTGTCATTGGACCCGCGCCTGAGGTTCAGGAGGGCTTCGCGTGTGGTTGTCTGAAGTTCAGAGGGGCCCAGGGTGATGCCACCTTGTGTTGAAAATCCGTTTCCGGAAGATGTTTTTCCTGTTACTTGATCTAGGCCCCCTGTCCCGTCTCTCAAGTTGGCAAGCGTTGCGCAAGTTCGCGCGCCCACGACTCGACCGAGTGTTTTCCACTGAAGTCCAGTGAGTCTTCGTTCCATCCCAGAGGGTTCAAGTTTTTGGCATGTCGCCTGATCCTTGTTTTCTCGGCCCTTTTCTGCTCAAGTTTTTCTTTTGTATGCGACCATGTCCGTCAGTTTCCCAAAGCTCCTGGAGTCCAGGCCGACCCGGATGTATCTGGAGTTGGGTTTCTCCACAGCTGCTTCTGCGAGTCTCAATCTTGCAGAGGCAGCTTCCCCAAAGCGGTGCGCAGCCAATCTTTTTGGCTTTGGTTCACGGTTACCTGCCCCCGATCCCAAAGTTCGAGCTCCCACCGTGTGAAGCTCCTGCGCCGGTCACGTTGACCTCAAAGCAGTACGGCCCCGGCCGCGACTGAGGATGCCTACCCGTGGAAAGGCAAGCTGTGCGAGGTGTTCTCCCCCACGGAGTCTCCCAGTGTGGAGTCCTGCGCCAACAGTGTCGGCATCCCGGCCACCGAGAAGCAGCCTTTGGAGGAGGCGCCCTTGGACGCGTCGTCCGCAACTAAGCGCTTCCTCTCTCCGGAGGCTTTGACTGCTGCTGTCACCATGTCCAAACCTGAGGGGCGCCATTCTGCAGCAGTCCCAGACAATCTGGGCTTCACACTGGGACTTGGCTAAGCGCCCAACCAGTCACCCGAGGCAGCCGCGTCACGAAAAAGTTGAGTCCAAGGGTTCATGCTCATGCTGGGAAGAGTAGGACGCAGGCTTGCGCCACCCTCTATTGGTGAACATCGACTCCATGAGTGAGAACTTAAACCTGTCCGAGGAGAAGCTGAAACCGAAGAGACAACAGGAATACGAACGAGGAGATTCCAGTTGAAGAGTATCCAACGGAGTTTGGAACGCACTTATGGCACAATGATCAAGAGAACAGTTTCATTATTGATATTTCCATTTTGGCTCCCTCACCATGATTCTAGGAGTAGTTACTGTCTATCGTATTTCAACCGCGTACATATTCAGAAGTCCCAATCCGGGCACATACCAATACCGACAGATGTGCTCGTGCAAAAAGTAGCGTGCCTCTTTTTGATGCATCGAAACAACCGATTGACTAAGATGGCTACGCCAAAACATTTTTCCAATGTGCTATCACTGCGCCACCACCACATAACCGAGGCTTTTGAGACGAGAGATAAAATTACTCTGTGGCAGTATTCCCTTAGGAATCAATAAAGCCACGAGTGGAAACAAAATTGTGTTTTTTTCTCTTTTGTTCTGTGCTTGGTTCACAGTGTTCCACTCATGAAGCAATCCGCCTGCCATATTTTGGCTCAAGGCCTGTGCATGCTTTGTAGCTGTCATCCATTGATCTATTCATGCTGCGTCAAAGTAGACCGACACTCGGGGCCTACGTCTCCCCGAGGCGCGGCGCCCCACTGTCGTCGCTGGAGCTGCCGGTGCCGCCGCCGCCGCCGCTGGCGCTGCCCCCCCTCGACCCGCGGATCCAAGGTGGGTCTCGGGTTGAGGCATTTTCCCAGCGAAGGGGGGGGGTATTCCATATGGGGGTTTCTCAAAATGGTCCCTAAAAATGGTGAGGCGCCGCTTAAATAGCAACTGAAAGGGGACCCACTAGCTTGAGAAAAGTTCACGCCACATTCAGCGCTTCCGGGCGTGAACGCCGCTATAGTAGGCAACCCTTCGAGATCCAGCTTCCTGAAGTCTTTAGCATGTTTGGTTTAGTGGGGGATTTCCATTTAAGCCACTAAACGTCAAGAACTCTTAGCGAGGGAGCTAAGGACAGACGAATATCTGGAGTTATACTTGGTGGGTTCCTACATTCTCCGTAATGAAACATGCCAGTGGGGCACACGCCCTCGGAAGAATTCTACAGGGCTGCGGGCAAAGGTTTTTGTCCTATGGCAGCCCCCATATGCGCTGGAAAGTGATCGGGTCATCTCTCGCCCTTCACACCTATTTGTTTCTGTTTCAGCGCATGTTGTGTCACTCCTTCTTCTGGCAAAGACGACCACCCGCAGCGGCTGCTCCCACCAACTTTGTTGCGAAGGATGGATCTTATCCCTTTGACATCCCCATCCCCATGCACCCATTCAGGAAGCGAATCCAAGAAGGTTCCTCTTTTCAACACTCATGCTAAAATGGGTCGAATCAAAACCCAACGTCGAATTCCAGCCGGGTCGTTTTCTTTTGACCTACCACATGGGTGTGTGTGTGTGGCTAAGCATCAGAATTGGAAGTGACTTAGCCTTTTGCCCCGATGTCCACGTGTTCGTGGCGAGGCCCGCGTGCTGTGCCGGAGTCGCCCATGGGAGGCGTTTCTGGTGGGGGGGCGATTAAGCGTGGGACTGTCAGGAACTTCCTCGAGTTAAACTTGCCCATGTTTCTGTATGGATGCTGATTGCTTGTATGCTGATTGATGCTTGGCTTGGGTGAGGAAGTTTGGCTTCGTCTCCCGCGACCCTCAAATGGTTCTCCATTTCGATGGCTCCAATACACATGTCATGGTGCTTGTGCCCTGGTACCAGTGCACATTTGGGAGTGTTTCTACAGGAAAACCAAGGTCCAGTAAATTTTTGTGGTCCCCCAATCACACTAACCGCCCATATGGTGTTTTTTTTTGTTTTTTGTTTTTTTTTGTGGGGATGCAGAGGGAAAGCCGGTCCATTTGCATGGTCCAAATGCTATGTTAAGACGTGCCCAGGTGTCAAAGGAGAGAATCAAGCCAAGAGTCAACCGCTCCTTTGGGGAGGCGTTGCAAAGGAGTCACAACATGTGCAACTCTTCACCCCAGCCAAATCTTTGTGGTGTACCCTCCCTCCAACTAACATGGAAGTGCAAAAAGGTCCTTTCCAAGAGCAAAGTAGTCTTTCCAGAAGGGTCTGTGCACTTCCATGTTAGCTGGTGGGAGGGTAAGTTGTTTGAGTTTGCCACACCTAAGGGACCCTCGTTGCGCTTTCGCCCGCAAGGTGCTCGCGGCCGCACACCCTGCCGAGGTGGGAGAGAACTCGTTGCTTGTGTAGGTAGAGGTAGCCGCTGGGTAGGCCTCCAAAGCATAGTTGTCCTTTTTGGTTGGTTTGCTTAAACAAATCGAGGGCAATTCGTGGTTCAGATGGGGTTTATGCCCCATTTACCAGGGGAACCCATCGATTTTTCCAAAAGGCGGCCCGTGTCACATGTCGGTTTCCTTTGAAACTCATCGGGCACGAGCCGTCGCGAAATGCAACGCTGCGGCTGGCAAGCTTCGCAGCCGTACCATTTTCACCTTGTGTAAGGCACCTATTTTGACCCACAGCCATTTAGGCTAAATTATGTCGAGTAAACCTGGGTGTAAAACGAGCTCACCGGCGATGAAGGTCTTAGCCGTTCCGCATTGACCCTCTGTGAGTTGTGGGTTTATCCCCAGATAATCCCCAGATGCAAGCTAATTCAAGCCAGTGCTCGAAAGGCTTGTTTCAAGTGGGCGTCGGCACAGCCTTCCAGGCGCCAGCCGTACGCCCTACAGAGGCGGGGCAGTAGCTTTGCACTGGAATTTCCACAGGTGGCTGAGAGGATGAAACTGCCGATTCAGACCTTTGTTTGTTATGGCGGTCTATGTGCTTGCGGCTGCCAAATTCTTGGCATGCTTCTGAGTTTCGAGCTTGCGGGATTTGTTCTGGACAGCCGAGATCCATTTTGCTGAAGAGGTCTTTATGTCATTTGGTCTCATTTTGGTCATGCCTTGTAGATCAACTGCCACCGCGAGGGGTGCGCCCGCAAGCCTTGCTTGGCATGGCGGCGCAAGCTCCACGTCTGCTGCGCAGGTCCTCAGCCGGAGTCACCCTATCGAGGCTGGCAGGGGAGTTGTCAGCCTCTTCGCCCCGAAATGCGGCGGCGCTTCGCCAATGTTTGCGGAGCAGCATTTCCTTCAGGGGCATCGGCATCGTGGGCAGTCCAGCACGGGGGATTCTAGGGGGCAATTGTTCAAGTATGTGTTTCGGTTAGTTTTAGTGTTTGCTTTTGTTTGTCAGTTGCGTCGGCTTTTGCAGCTTTGCCCTTTGTCTTTCCACCCTGAATCCTACGGTCCCGCCTACTCTAAACCAACCCTGCCGACACCAGTCCTGAGCCACCTGTAAAACAGCCCTCAACCAACCAAGCCCATCCTAAGGCAACCCCACCCTACACCCCACCCAACCCCAAACTAACTCAACAGCTACCCTAGCTCGTACTGAACCGACCCTAATCCGACTAAGCCTTAAAAGCAGGCATGGTGAGCGTTTTCGTTGTTTTGCTCCAGGTCCAGCTGAACAGCAAACAACAAGCTCGAGAAGTTGCCCTCCCTGACTTCCTGGACTTTCAACTCCATTTGCTTAAGAATATTTTCCCCTTTTGGTGTTAACGGGAATCTATCACTACCGGATGTCTTTTTGTCCAGAGAGCTTAAGCAAATGGAGGTTTTGGGAAGACACTTTTTAGTTGTCAATTAAACAGTTCGGACCTTTTTGGGCCATCCACTCATTTGTTCTCCGACATATGTTTGCTTCTCCCGATTTGTCGAGGTAGGTTATTTTGGCGGTTTTTTGTGGTTTGTGCGGTTTGTTCGCTATCTACGTGTTCTGTTTGTTTTCTGTTTTGGTTTTGGGACCCACAATGTGTTGCGCCACATCCACTACCATTTTACATTGCTCCTAGTACAGGGGTGGCTTTCCCCTTCCGCGCAGGAGTCCCTTTGTTTGAAACAGGCAGCAGTTGGAGTTTGATACTCGTTGGGGGCTGGAAGTTGAGACACTCCTGGGAAGAGGGGCTGGAAGTTCAAGGGACGTGCCGCAAACTATGAGGACGACAGCCATTGACATTTTTATGCGCCGCCGTGCGCTTATTTTTTTAGGGCCAAGCTGAGTTTAGGCATGCCTGGGCACATGCCTAGCTCAACCCCTGGGCCAATTCCAGGCGCTCGCAGCCGTACGCCCTACCGAGGCAGGGCAGTCGCTTGGCACTGGAATTGCCACATTCGGCCGAGAGGATGAAACTGCCAATTCACTGTTGGCTCCCAGCCATCCGGTTCCTTAGATTTTTGGGCTTTTAGTATTTAGTGGTTGGATTTGTGTATTTTACCCACAAGTCAAACTTTTAGCGGGAGTTGTGCGAGGACAGCCCAGGTCACACATTTGTTTATCGAGCTTCTGGTCGTGCAGTCCGCGCGCGTGTAGCCGAATTCTGGGTTTGTTGAGACAGCTGGGGTACATTTTGCTGCAATCCACCAGATT